TTTTATAATATATCTCTATTTTTTTTTTTTTTTTGAACTCCTAATCACATCAGAGCTATAAGCTTAATGAGTAGACTAAGATGTAATTTTCTTGTCAACTATATTGTTTAATATTTTGTTGTTGTAAGTTAAATAAATAAATATAGGTAATGGTGTAATATTCATAGGATGTACACTGTACACTGCATATAACATTGTATCATACGGTATTATTAACAATTTAATAATAATTAATCATATTATTTATATTATTATGATATGTATTTTCATTTTATTATATTTATCAATAATTATTATTACTATATACCCCATAGAGTAAGAATATACTAATAATATACTAATAATATACCTACATAATAATACATTCCAATTTCTTATGGGCCAATGGCCCTAGTCACCGCAGCAGTTACTACTTACTATCCATAAAAAAAAAAATAATAATACATCCATCAGTCTAACATCTATAAAAGCAATTACCGCAATAATTAACGCCAATGTCAAGTCACATAAAAAAAATGACTATATCATTTATTGTGATGAAGATTTTACTCTAAGATAACTCTAATCTCAAAAACATAAAAAAAAAAAATGATTTTGCATGAAAACGTTTTGTCTATGTTTTCATTGGTAGGTAATAATAATCGGTGTAACACTAACGTTCTTTTAATATAATAATCTTACTACTATTTACTAATGAAACTGTAGTGTTCTTTTGATTTAATAATCTTATAAAACTATTAATTGCTAATCGTTCAATTGGTGCCTGAAAATTAAGCAAGCTCGGCTCGTAATGGTAGTTAGCGCCGATATTCGTTCAAATAAATGAGCTATATTCCAGTCGTCAAATCGTCGAAATGTTTTTAAACCGTCTTCGATCGCTATTCACGATCGATTTTAACAATATCATTGAACGCGTTTCCGAACACTTGGATTGGGAATTATATTGTTATATATAAATTATAGTAATATTATGATGGTCAACGACAAATTCTACGTCAAAACAAATTATCGCCTTATCGGTAATATTGACCATCATTATTATGTTCAAACGAAGTAAAATGGAAAGTAGAATGTTTACACTTATCAGAGTTTATAAATACACAAGGTTTTAATAAAAACTATAGTTGTTATTATTTAGCAAAAAGTAATCGTTTCTTACAAATTTAAAAATGGAAGAATTATTTAACAACCATAAAATATATTGTATTTCTATATTCATAATAAACTCGTATTCCACCCTAAGCCACCACAAAACTTAATCCTAGAAACAATAATTTATAAAAAAAGTATTATTTTCTTTTTCTTCTTCTTTTTATCTGACCGCAAGTTTTAAATGAAAACGTTTTAACTTTTGTCTTCCTTAACGTTGAAGAATTAAAATAATTGTTTTTATTTGTTTTAAATACATTTAATATTTACTCTAAGTAGTAACATAATATTATGCACGTGTTTTAGACATTTTAGTACTTGAGTGTAAAAATGCTAAACTTGTTTGCGTATTCTAGTGGTGTACTGGTATGTGTGTGTGTGTGTGTGAGAAAGAATGAGTGAGCAGGAAATAATATTATATAGTGCTTGCGTTTGCGTTAATGTGTGTGTAAGCATAATATAGTGTATACTGTTTAATACGTGTATTCCGTGATTTCCGTGTTTTTCGTGGAGGTAAGTTACGCAAACGAAAATACAATTTACTATAGACTAATCAACATGACTACATCAGCTGTACATTTCAATACTATAATAATATGTACGTTCATAAAACCAATTATATAATAGTTATTTACAAATATTTCAGTGATTCTAAGTTCTAACCAATATAAACTTATTTCTATTATTACATTAATATCATGCATTTATATTATTATCTTTATACCTAAACGTGTGTTTGGTTCGTGTACTATGTGTTTAATAATTCGATTCAGATAAAAATAAATTAATGATTTACAAAGGTATAACACACGTTGGGACCAGCCCTGTTTGCCCACATTAAGCGGTTGCCCATAAAAACCGAAATTAGTAAAAAAAAAAAAAAAAAATTATAATAAAAAAATATATTTGTATTTTCATATAATTGAAAAACATTTTAAATAATTATTAGATATATAAATAAAACTAAATACATATAATATATTAAATAAAATTAATCTTTGGATGTAGAAGGTATACAAAACGTTGTAATTTTTCGTTGTCTAAGCTGTTTAGTATGGATCTGGTTGACAAAATAGGCACACGCTTCAAGTTTATCAGACGGACTATTTTCGTTTCCCTCTTGCATGAAGAACTTCTGCAAGAAATCAATGCACTTTTTCGCCTCTCTTTGACGAAATTTGTTTATTTGAATGGTAATGATTTTTATTACTTTCGATAAACACAATCTCATAGATACGACGAAACCCGATTAAATTAATCGTTTTTAAATACTTATGTGTATATTCTAACGCTATGATAAAAAAAAATTGCCCACATAAACCGAATCGAGTGTCCATATTACGCGGTTTTATTTGACATTGTTAATATACATTTGTATTGGGACCAGACATGTTTGCCCACAATAAGCGGATGCCCATATTAACCGGTGGCCACATTAAGCGGAATCCACTGTATTGGTTTATTTATAAAATATGTACCTATAGGCTATAATTAGTATTTGCTGTAAAATGCTCTATTTCATTGTTGTCTAAAAATCATAACGTATTAAAACGAGGCAGAACAAGAAATTATTGTTAAATTATGATTTTTATACTTAATTAAAATTTAAATATAATCGGACAATTAAGATAATAAACGCGTGTTAAAAACATTTTTATTTTTAAAATTTATCTAAGTATATCTTAAATGCAAATTGTACATTAAAAAAAGAAACAATATTTACGTATATTTCTTTAGACGTATTAAAAATAGATTGTATACTTATATTACGAATATACGGTTAACCTTGTATCAGTTGTATCTTAATTTCTAATATTTTATATTTAAAAACTACTACCTTGAATTAGGTATTCACTATTAACAGATATAAAATATAATATTAAATTATCCAGTTAAAATATTTTTTTAGTTCTAATAAATAATTTTTAAAATACTTAATACGCTATAGTTACACCGGCATTTAAAATATCTACATCTCACAAACGATCAATAGGGCAGAGGACTGTAGCTCATAAACGCAAAATAAATTACCTTTAAAACAACCCATAAGCACAAATAAATTTTACATAATAAAAGTGTATTTTATTAAAATCATAGTCATTAGTCATTACTATTTACTCGTTACTCATTTTAAATTAGCTTTTACAATGATATTAAAATGAGTTAAAAAATTAAAATGTTGAGTAATTTGAAACTTAGAAGTATATTTAGTATAATTATTATAATGAGTATCTTAAAATTAAATTTAAAATTTTAATCCTATAGTTTTTAAATAGTCTAATCTGTGCATTTTTTATATTTGTAAAATATGATAAAAAATAACACTAAACTTCAACTGAACATCATTACTCTTATTTTTAAAATATAAAAATATTATATATTTAAGAACTAAATATATTAAGCGTTAAATTTTTATTTGAAACTTAGTGTAAGATGAAACAGGTACAATTACAATATTGTGATAGGTAACTCAATTTATTTTTACGCTTTAATCACACTGCAAAGAAACAAAAACGTAAAGGTTAGGTTGTTGAGGCCACGAAAAAAAATTAACCATATTATGCACTTTTGGGTATCACCGAGTAGTGGGCTTCACAAGATGAACCATGGAACTCAATTTATCAAATAACGAAACTACAATGTTGGCGCTCATGGACAACGGTTATCGTCCGTTTTTTTGGTAGCTGCTCATAAACAGTATTTGTAACTCTTACAATATTTGTAGGTTTTCTTTTCTTTTTAAAAGGCTAATTTATTATTTTTGTTTTATGAACATAATTAATTTAAATATTATAGACGTAACTTGTGTATAGGTACTAATAAACTTTTTTTAAAACTATTCTTAAGTTCAAAAATACTAGTAAATAGTAAATACATTATTATCATTGCAACTGACTATATGATTTTAATAAATACAAAAACATACAAAAATTTATAGTGTTACTGTTACACATGGTACGTTTTAAAAACTTCTCTTAAGCAATAATTTGGATTAACGTGTTATCGTAATCGTATATGCATAATATAAATAATAATAATTTTAATCCCAAAATAATAAATTTATCTAAATTCATAATATTATATTATATTACTATCACTAGTATTTCATTCGATGCAATATATTAATAATAAATAATAATAAAATAATATTCTCAAACGCGGAACGCCTAACGATGAATTATATCGCTGTGGACTGTAGTTTTCAATATTTTTTTTTTTGTACAATCACAAGCAAATACAATATTTTTCTTATAATCATGTAGCCGTGTATCTATTTTACACAATTTTGTCCGTTTTTTTGTGCAATAATAATTTTGATATTATGATGTGCGGGCGGAAAAACAAAACAGCCACAAGGCACAAAGATTTACCAACGACCAGCCCAAAACCGGATTATGTTGAGTCGTATTATTAAACGTTACAAGTATAAAAATATTATTAGAAACTATATAGCCATAAAGGTTCATCAAGACGTACGAGCGACGTCATTAGTCATTTACTCAGTATAAAATGTTAATTCTCTGATTAAATCTACGAAACCGAACGACCAATAACCAGTGTGCGATGTGTACAAAAACCCAACAAGTGTGTTGTCGACAACGGTGTCTGGTCTCGTCTACGCAGTGGCGGATAGTGTTTTCGCGGAATGCGTTTAGCATAATGCAATTAATATGATATTATTATTTATGCCGTTTGCGACCGTGTGCGCGGAGACGGCAAAACCCGCGTAACTCGTATGATAATTATTATTATTTAAAACGCCTTCTAATAATCAGCAACGGCGAAACGCGGTTGGGCGGTACACGACGACGAGTCGACGACTACTACTACGACGTCGTTCACGGACGTCGTACACAAAAGCGGTTTTATAAGTATTTTTTCGATCGAGGCGACTATTACCGCGGTCGTGGTGGGCTGGGCACTGGTGTAGCATTGTAGCAACAGCGATAATACCGCGCGACCGGACAGTGCAAGCGTGCATGCGCGTCGCAACCGTCCACACGGTTATCCCGTCCCGTCGTCGTCCCAACCTTTGGCCCGAAATTTTCTCGTCCGAATTTTTATTTTTACCCGTCACCGGCGCCGGTTAGTCTCATAATTATCTCATCTATCACCGTGTTCCCGCGGCCCTTCACACGATATTGTGGCCACCATGCCGTCGCCGTCGTCGTCGCTGCACTGTAGCCGCCGCCGTACGCCGTCGCTGCAGACGACCGTCGCCTTGGTCGCCGCCGTGGCCGTAGCGGTCGCCGTCCGTTCGACGGTCGCCGCCCCGCAGTCCGACGGCGACGCCGTGATCACGATCGCCGGCCAGCAGTGCAAGTGCGTGCCGTTCTACTTGTGCGAGTCGAGCAATACTGTCTACGTACCCTCTGAGTAGGTGTAACGAGCGTTGCGTGCAACAAATTATTACTAAACAATTATTACGGGTACAGCGGCGCATGACTTCGGTCTAGGGACCGCGACTGCGGGGCTTGTGTTTCTCAGCCTCTCTGTGCTCGTTCGTCGCAGATTTTTGGGTTCTCTGGCCGGAGGTGCATTTCATTTAGAACGTTAGGCGCTTAAGGTAACGCGAACAGCGATCTCCTTGAATCCCGGGTCTTTATTCCTAGCGGATCGACCAGTGCTTACTCGCACTAGGGCGACGAGAGTGTCTCCTACTCATCCCTCCGTCTGTTTTTTCGTACACTTGTTGGGAATGATGAATTTTGTTCAACGAGCATTAGATGTGGACTTGGCACGACCGATCAATTCTGGACGATCCTATTTGTAAATTATAAAAAAAATAATATCAATACTATTACAATAATTATATATATATATTTATGTGGTGGTTTTTCTTACAGTTAATCGTTCCTCGCGGCCTTTATCGTTAAATATTCAACTTAGTACATAATATGTTATGCGTTAGACGATAGATAGGTAACATTATGTTTTATACTGATAGTGATAAGTAACGTTATAATATTATAATAATAACATTCAGTAAAAATCATTTTTATAGAACAATATTTTAATATTCCAACTACGTTTTAATTTTAAAAGCGAAACGGTTCTGCTGAAAAATATTGTATTAATACATCAGTTACTACGATACTACAGAATAATTAAAAGCTGTTTGTACGTCTGTAACACGTTTCGTCATTTTTTGAAAGATTCTCATAATGATTTCTTTAGGTACTGTTTACTATATATGTTAAGTTTTCAATACACTGAGCAACAGATGACGCTTTTTTAAATATTTAATTTTTTTTCAAGCTAAAAAAGTGTCAAGAAGAAAACTAGGGTATGTAGTACTATATTGATAATGATTGGAATTTAAATATTTTTGGATATGGCATAAATATGGCAATATACACTTATAGTTATAATCGTAGTATATTATAAATTATAATAATTAATATGCTATGGTTGTAATATAGTTATTATATTATAGAATTTTCTTGAAATCATCGGTAATTATTCTTGCATTACAATGTCTTAATACTCAAATGTCTGTATTAAAATAAATAGATAAATTAAAATGTAAGATTAACTAATTATGAAGGTTATAGCTAATGATCTTAACGATTCTTTGATCATTAAATTAATACAGTCAGGTATAATATAATTTCGTATAATTTCTACTTATCATAGTAAATTTCGTATATTTTACCAGTATTTAGATTTTGAATTTTATGAATACCTATTATTAAATATGTAAATATGATTAGTATTCTGATAATTTATTTAAATAAATGTAATTTATTTTCAATTGATGATATAGATAATACGATTATGTCATATGGCAAATTACTCTTTTTGCAAATGGACTTGGCTTTTTGCGATAAGGTAGTTCGTTTGCAAACTACTTATTATTTTTTTTCAAATGGTTGGCTGTTTTTTAAACTTATTGTATACAGAATAAAAACAATTAGACCTTTTATATATATAAAAATATACATTTATTAATATAGATATATATGATAAATATTTGTTTTCTCTTGTTCGAATAACTTGGAAATTTGAATATATTTTTTAGGCTTATTCGGTGGTGTAATTCGTAATACTTACTTTCACTTTTTTGTATTTCTAATATTTTTATGCAAAGGCTAAAGAAATACAAGAACAATATAATTAGTTAAAAAAAAAATAGTTTTAAATTATATTAACCTATTTATAATGCATATTTATGCAACAGTATTGCTTTACAATAATATAAAATAAATAGTAGCACACTAATGCAATATAACAATTATAAAATATTATTTAATATCTATCTGCTACTTAAATATTGTTAATTAATAATTATTATGTACCTACTTATGTGCAAAGTATTTCGTGTACTTATACATTAAATATAAACATGAGTCATGACTACCTTCTACCTTGATTATTTTGTTTCTATATAGATCTACAGAATCGGGTTGTATGAGTGACTTGGTATGTTGCCGAGTAGAATCAAACTCACCAGTTACCGAATCGTATTCAACAACATCTACAACATCTGAATCTGAATTACCTCAAGTTAGTTCATCTTCTCAGGAACCGTATATTGAAACTACCGAGAATATCGAGAATAATAAACCATGTACATGTGTATCCAAAAATCAATGTTTACCATCAAATAAAAATGATAATACAAGGTAATTAGTTCTTAGTATAACATAAGAAGTGTAATACAATACATTATTTTAAATTTAACATAATAAATTTATTATATTAGTCAGAAAATTTAGTATTTTAACTAATAAAAAAAATCTTGATTGAGTTTTTCTTTTCTTTTTTTTTTTATACCTAGAAATGGCAGTTGTAGTAGCAATAAAGTTTGTTGCATAAATGAGTATGTTAATATCGTACCAACTCAGGAAACACCTATTATTGATGAGTTTAACAATAATAATGTTCGTAGTTGTGGTATTGGTAAGTCACCACCAGATACCATAAATACTGATAATATAGGAACACGTATTGTTAATTCTGAAGGTACATTTATAATTTGTTTGAAATATAAAACAACACAAACATATTTATTTTTTTTTATATAAATTAAGTAAATTTTTGTTTTTTATTGTTAGATTATTCAGACACGTATTTTGGTCAATTTCCATGGATGGCTGCTATTCTAAAAACCGACATAAATGAAGACACAGGTATAAAAACTGAAAATGTTTTCCTATGTGGTGGTTCATTAATACACCCACGAGTCATTTTAACAGCAGCGCACTGTGTCAGGTACTTAATTAATTTTGTTGATATTTTTGTTAATAATATTACTTTTAGGAATTTCATTTTTCGAAAATAAGTTCCCAAATGCCCACCAAAATATATATTTCCGTTTTATAATGAGTGTTATTTTTCTAAAACATTGTCAATCAAATTGAGCATGCTTTTGTAAAAGAAAACACCCATATTATATCTTAAATTAACAATTTTTGTTGAAGCTTATAAATAATGTAAATTTCATATGTCTAAGACTACAGAAGAATATTAATGTTGAGTGACACTTGTTCTTTTTTTAAAAAAAATCATTGTAATATTTTATACAAAATTATTGACCAGTCAAAAATCAAAATCTATATACTCTATAACATTACATTATTACAATATTTAGTATTAAAAGATATTTATATTATATTATAAACATGAAATAGTTAATAGAATAATCTCAATGCTCGTGCACACAAAAGGCGATAAGTCGTATAAAATTTCACACAAGCAGATAGCGATTTGTTTTTAAATTTTTTTAAATTATTACATTAAATTTATAATATGGTGGTAGAAACAGAAATTCTAAAATAAGAAAACATGTGCTCTTATGTGATACATTTCATCAAAATTACAAAAATACAGCATAGAATAAAATATCCAAGATCTGGGCATAACCAGTATAATGACAAAAATAATGAGAGATAATATTATGTATTTGTAACTATACGATATAAACCAAATTTGTATATATCATAACAAATGTGAAAAATATAGTGTTTATGTTAGACCGTTTTTATTAAAATAAATGCATTATTTGTGGCGTCTCCAGATCGCTGTCCGCCGTAACAGACCGCGTTCTGTATGCCCGAGGCTTAACTAAATAATAGAATTACATTTTTAAAATAAACACATCTTTTTATTCTAAACACAGTACATTATTGTTAATAAAACATGTCATGTTACAAGATAAATGACATAATGTTAAATAAAACGTAATAAATGGTAATAACGGTGTATATATTCTTTTTACTATCTGGTGCCTTGGTGATCAGGAATATTTTATATGATGGCAATGATTTTGATTTTAAATATTCAAAATAGTATTTAGTATTTTACATACAATATTATATTATTATTTATTACTAAAATATATTAGATATAGTGTAAAGATACGGCCGCACTGAACACGATTTGCAATTTTGCGTTTTGCGATTTTACGATTTTATCAAAACTATAGAAGAAATATGACATAGCCGTACTGAGGGCGTTTCGCGTTTTGCATTTTATACCAAATCGCTTTTAATGCAAATAAATCAAAAAAGATTGTTTCCTTGCGATTAATGATTAATCGCTCTTGAAAAGCCCACCATGTCGGTTGATCCAGAAATATTAGCTGCAACAGTTATTTCAAAAGAACCAATTTGGAACCCTCGTCATGCTGGTCATAAAAATAGGACTATTATTCAACAGTGTTGGTTTGATTTAAGTAGAGATGACTATAGATAGTAAGTACCAAGTACAATAATAATATTATTAGGTACAGTCGAGTCAACCGATAATTGATAATTCGAAGCTAGCAGGACTTTTGAATGTTTATGATTAATTTCTTACAATAATAATTCTATAGTTATTGAAAATAATAAGCAAATTTCTACACGATTGTATAGTAAATTATTAACGAAAAAGTAATAAGAAATACAATATTTGATAAATATGCTTCGAATTACCGAACGTTGAACGGATGAAATTTCAAATTGTCAGATACTTGTGGCCAGTTTTCCCAAAATTTAATTTCGAATTACCAAATGTACTTAAATAGATTTTATTTGAATTACCGCGAGATTTTCACAAGAATTGAGTATTTATTTCGAATTACCGAAAGCTTGAATTATCGAGAGACAAGATAATTAAATAATAATATTATAATTTATAAACAATATTGTAAATTATAGGTGCATCAGTCATAATATATTATTCTAATATTTAATGATAATTGAATATAATATAGAAGTATAGAACCATATGCATTGATCATAAATCATAATTCATAATAACTCAAAATTAATTATTAATCAATAAAATGTATACCTAAAATATGTATAAACTTACTAAAATAATTTATAAATTAAACTTTATTCAAATAATCAATACACTAAAGTACTAAACTACTAAAGAATAAATATTAGATTCATAGAATATTATAGATAAGAAAATTACAATCGAATCAAATACGTCACCCTTGTACATTTAGTAATATATTAAAATAAACTTATCAATTGTTATTTTATATAATAATTCTATTTTTAACAATAAAGTTAAGTTTATACGGGCAGATACTTACAATGTACAAAATTACAAATCATAAATAACCCAGACCTAGCGTTTAAATGAAAATAGTAATTATTCTTGTTTATTTTTGATTTTAAAATAGTACCTAATGGCTAATTACTATTTGATTGAAATTTAAAATTGGCGAACAACTAGTTGTACAAGTTGCATTATACTTCTGTATAAGTAAATAAGTTTAATAATGAAATAAAGTAAAAATACTACCCAAATATTATAATACCCATCTACGCAAGTCATCTTGGTGATTAAAATTTAAAACTATTTACCTCAAAACAATAAAAACGCGAGACTGGCCCCACTAAAATCGCGTAAATCGTTGGATAATATCGTTCGCATAATCGCTCACATCGTAAATCGCATTTAGTGCGGCCGTAACACGTCTGAATAATGAATATTGAATAGAATTTACATTAATTATTATGAAACTGTTGAAATAAAAAAATTAATGGTCTCTATCAGTGAAGATGAATCAACAATCGTGTAGTTAAACTTATTATGTCTATCTTATAGGTAATAATATATAGACATAATATATTAGTTATTAGTTTACTACTTATTACTAGAGCTAGGATTTTGATGACGTTTGCATTTTTTCGTATTTTTTACAGTTTTTGTGTTAAATGCATTTTATTTCATTTTTAAGGTCATTTTTACAAATATTACGTTAATATTGTGTATTTTAACTAATTTTTGTTCATTTTAAGCTTTTATTAATATGTGTTGTGTAGATAATCTCAATTTACCTACTCCAGTCTATTGATATTGAAAAAGTAATATGATTAATTGTCAACTCAAATTTGAATACATTTGTTTAATTTACATTTTAAAACAAATTTTTACCTGTTTTGTGTAGTATAAAAATTGAATAAATAATTATTATTTTAAAATTAAATTTTTTTTGCTTGTTTAAGTTCATTTTTGGTTGTTTTTGCATTTTTGTGTATTTTTTAGGTCATTAAAATCCTATTAGTTATTACTAACATATTAGAATACAGACCATACAGTACTTACTGTATTAGTTTTAGCTGTTATTTTATGATTATTGATAAGTATTTTTAGTTGTAATTTTTCCTGTTGATATTGAAATAGAGATAAAAATGTGAAATTATTAAAAGTACGAGTGGGCGTTTGGGATACACAATCCAACAATAACGAAGAAGAAAAAGAAATTTCGCACCAAGATCGCAGTGTTTCAAAAATAGTGTGTCATCCAAATCATAATAATGGAACTATGTACAACGATGTTGCGTTAGTTGAACTCGAATCTGAATTTACATTACACTCGCATATTAATGTTATATGCATTCCCAGCGATGAAAAACAACTAAGCTATAACCCCAAATCATGTGTATCAACAGGATGGGGTAAAAATGGATTTGGTCAGTATAAATTATTTAATTTTAATTAATGTGAATTAGTTAATAGTAATAAATTATGACACAACTTGAAAATGTATCTATAATTCATAAGTCTAGGATTCGGAAATTATTGGAGTTACATATTGTTCAGTATGCTCTCGAGAGCATCAAATCGGTCGATTTGTAGCAGACCAAGCTAGAAATCCGAGCCATACAATGTTGAGTCTAAAAATTGAAAATTAAAATTATAAATTTTGCATATTTCGTCAATTTTAAAGAAAAAAGTTTATTTCTTTATTTTCATATGCATATTATGCATATTTAATAGTTTATAAAAAATTGTTTTTTTTTCTTTTTTAAACTATATATCTATTTAAAATAATCTTATTTAATTTTTCAATAACATAGTTTATTTTTTTAATTGCTTTGTGTTTATTAATAATATAATAATTAATATATAATAACAATAGTCAATAGACAATAAATAATAACGAAATTTTTATATTTTTCAGAGTAATTAACTTTGAATCATTTTTTTGCATATTTCACATTTTTTCATACATATTTTATAATTTTTTCGTGAAAATTTTGCTTTTTTTTAGCTCCTATAACTTCCAAACCCTTTTCATAACTTAAGATAAAAACCCAGATAAATTGATTTACTTAAATGTATCACTTCACTGATGAACTATTATTGGCAATATATATGTTCAGGGTGGATCTACATAAACCACTTGAATCACTACCACTCACGATATTAGAACTGTTATTTATTGTATACAAAACTGTATATAGATTTTTTCAAAGAAAAATATCCAAATGTGTTTTTTAATACAAATTAATTTTACGTCAATATTAAATAACATTTATTTATTATATCAAAAACACGAATTATATTTTATAAATGTAATGTAATTTATAGAATGTTTCTCCTTTTTCTTTTTCTTTTTTTTAGCAAATTAGCTAAAAATATTTCTATAGATTAAGTTTGTTAAACTTAGGTTTTTATTTATTTAGCAAAAAAAAAAAATATTAGTATTGAAGTTAGTGGTTTATTGGTAAAATAGTACTTTTGCTCGTTTTGATGTACCTAATGCCTATCTAAAACTGTCCCTTCAAACATTCTTATTTTTGCATAGGTATAATAATATTATGAATATTATTTTATGCACCTATTATGTACATTAATAATATTAAATTTAAACGCATAATATAATATATTGCTGTTGATTGCTTTTTATCAATAACTGTTTTATTAAATGTAAAAGGGATTCGGAATTAATTGTTATAAAATATAGCAGTAAACAATATAATATACACAATTAAATTAAATTAAAAACAACATATTTTTAAAAATTAAATAAGTAAATAAAATAAATGTTAAAACTAAAATTCGGACCACCAGACGGTCTAGATGAAGTCGATAAAATGCCCTTATATTATTTATTTTTTTACCAAACTCAACCCCAGTAAAAATCAACAAGTTTTATTTCAGCCGTCCGTGTATACCATTTAATTTTTTTTTTTTACTTGAATCACTTGTTTTTTTTTTCGTATTATAGATATTTTATTATAATAAACTAATGAGATATACCTAAACAGTAAACATTCAATTAATGCTTTTTTTAACATATATTATTTGTATTATTTTTAATTTAACAGAACTAGGCAGTAAATATCAAACTGTATTAAAAAAAGTAGAGTTGTCCCTTGTGCCCAATGATGTATGTCAGCAGCAATTACGGAACACGCGTCTTGGAAACTTTTTCCGTTTACATGATAGTTTTATTTGTGCTGGCGGCATAAAGGGAGTAGACGTGTGCAAAGTAAGCGAATTTATTATATAAGTTTTAATAAGAGCAGTGGTGTATTGGGGAGTAAATGTTAGTATACGGCGTATACCCAATACGCTATTTGTATCCATAGCTTATGAGTTATGACAAATTAATGATACGCGTGTATACCATATATTCTATATAACAATATTTTAAATAATATAATATCAAGTATCATACACGGTTGTAGATAAATATAATACATCAATAACCTTGCAACTACGATATCTCGATAGTCGATTGTATAATACTATTAATTATCTTTACATGAATAAGGCGTATACTCACGGTTTATTTTAGCAATACATCACTGGATAAAAGTGACAGCTTAAAACGTTTATTACTTTATTTGTTATTTATACATTTTTTTTCATATACAGGGTGACGGCGGTGGACCGTTAATATGTGCAGTAAAAGAATCCCAAGAGAAGTCAAAAAAATATATTCAAGTGGGTATTGTGTCTTGGGGTATTGGGTGCGGTGATGAAAATGTACCTGGTGTATACTCATCGGTAATAGCCAATTCCCAGTGGATCAATAAGGAGCTTAAAATTATTACACAATAAAAACGTCGTTTTTTCCAACTACTGGCATTTTAATTTATATATTATTATACTTTGACTGGGTATTTGATCGAATTTATATCGATTTATTTCCCGATATATTATAATGTAAGCATAAAATATATATTTCAATGTATGCCTTAAACATATTACATTATATTATTATTTTTACTTTCTTGGCCCCTGCACATTATTTGAATTCCTTCGTATTCCTCCATTTCATCATTCGTCCTAGAAGTTCACATTTAATTTAAATAATAATTATAATCCAACACATAATTTTATTTATGTTTAAGTTTTTAATTATGATTTATGAGCTTTAAAATTAAGTGTTGTTTTAAAAACACGAACAAAAAAAAAAATAAAAAATAAATAATTATCTTTTGCGGTATGCAATAAGTTATCATTATTGATGATTTACATAATTATATATTATAAAATTATCATAAATACTGAAACGTAACAAAGATCTTTAATGGCCTTGAGGTGCCCACAGTATGTATTCGTTAATTTATTTTAGTTATTCCCATCTAGGTGCTGGTAAATTAACTACGTAGGGACTCACATAATAATTAGTATGTTGTCTAAGATTTCTACACGGAAAAAAAATTTAAACGCACTGATTTCGAAATGTTTTCAAAAGTGAGGTGTTGTATGTCTTTACCTAAGTATATAATATGAATGATAAAATGTTTGATGATAGAGGAATTCCATATATATTCGTATCAATTACTATACGCCATACGGCCATACGGCAACTTATTAGATATTGTGTGGTATTATTGGTAACCTAGTATAAGGTTAGGTTAACTTCCAACACTATGAAATAAAATAGTTAGAGGACAAAAAGTTCAAAGTTATAATTAAAATAATATCTTTATTTATCATTTAAAAATGTAATTTCGTCCTAGTTTGAACTTAAAATATCTATAAAAAATAGTATCGTTTATACATTTATTACATTTTTTAGTTCCAATTTCAATTACTTACCAAGAATATTGTTTGAAATTTGGAAAAGAAAAAAATAACAACATATTTTATAGAAAACGATCTACTTTTACGGCTTAATATTAATTAAGTGACAAGAATTATGATATTATTTTAATATACTTTATTAAAACGCTTTACATTTTCAATAAACATCTTTATAAGAATATGTTTTTAATTTTCAACATGAAAAAAAAAATAATTGAAAAACCTACTATTTTTTCAGTAATAAAAAGCAGTGAATATAAACCGTCTGTGATGAGATAGTTTAGAGGCAAACAGGTCTTTGGTGAATAGCTCGACGGCGAAACGATGTTCGTAAAAAATTAATTTGAATTTTTTTTTTTAATAAAAGTTGCTAAGCTTATGAAAAACTTCGTATTAAATTTCTAAACCTTTAAACCTTAGGCGTACGATTGCATTGATTGGCAAATAACAGTCAATAATTAAAAAATCATATCAATAAAGAAATTGATAATCTAAACACTTAATGACAATTTTAAGTTTTTGCAGTTATTTGTTTTTGAACAATAACAAAATAAAAAAATCAATATTATCAAAAACTATTTAAGCGTAAAATGTTCTTTTTACTTTATTTTATTTTTCCCGATTATTAAGAAAAGTACTAGGAAGTTAATTTTGACCTATCAAAATACCAATTAGATTCAATTCACTAACAGAAACCACCATCAAAGTTGAAAATCGAAAAATACAAAATATATTTAAAAACGTAAAGAAATATATTTATAATCCTGACGTGGTCTATAGCAGTGGAAAGTACAAGCATCACGGCCATCACGACGTACCACCGTTGGCGTTTCTATCGATCACCACTTCAGTACAAACAACGCAACTTGTTCAACTCTCCCGCCTTACTACTGTTACTAGTTATGGGAGACTCGGGAGAGGTGGTGGGATAAAGGACCGAGTTAGCTGCACGCTTAAGTAAGACCGGACGGTCAAGTCCATCAAGTCCAAAAACCATGATATCCCTTTGTGATGTCTTATATGACCACCGACCATTACAAGTGACGGACTACAGAGCATGTAATTAATATTTTCATTTTGATTTAATAAAACCTGATATGTATTATACACTAAATTTAGTCAGTATTTTATCCTTATTACTCGTAGAACGTCAATTTTGGCGGATAACAATCGAAGTCATCGCAGTCAGCGTCATCTGCTCCTCCCGTTAAAAGATATGTAAAAACTAAAAATCTTATCTACGCCACTACTGAATGTCAATTAGTGCCAACTGCCAAGTGCCTTGTCCCTCGTGAACAAGAACCAAAATATTCAAATTTCAATTATATTCACATTCCTTCTCAACTATTATATTTATTTTTATCTTATAAGTTATATTTGTGGAGGTACATGTGCAGCTGTCGTTGTGTGCATGTATCATAAATAGTTTAGATTACGTGTCACGCAATGATGATTGTTTAATATGATTTTAATTCAATGACCAAAATAATGTTGTTATATTATTATATATTATGCAAAATGCGACGCGGTCTACGGGTATACTATCGTTTATAACAATGTAAGCAAAAGGCATTGTACTCACTGCTCAATATAGGTCTTAATATATAAAAATAATACAAAAACAGATTATTAACTGATTATTTAAAAACACATTCTATTATATTATTATAATAATATATATCCAACAATAGGCTCGTGGATTATTTATATATTATATTCATGCATAACTCGTATTATACTAGACATCAAATAAGTTTGGAAACTACTGTATGGTGTATTTTAATACCTACATGGGGCAATAACAGATAACACGGCTTCACATTTATAATATAAAATATTTAATTACTTTGTTGAATAATAATTAGTAATTACCATTAGTCTAATGACTGTTTCCAAACTTATTCAACGCTCTACATAGTATAGTAATATGATGTATAAATGCAAAAATGTATTATTAATACTAATGGGTCATTGTGAATTTGACAGAAAAAAACTAGATAAAAAATAAAAATATTTATTTTAAATTGTTTGTAAATGTTAAATTTACTAATTACTTACGTGAATAATTTCCAAAAAAAATAATTGTCGACGACAATTTGTCGTTTTAATTATTCAATTGTTTAAATATAAAATATTTTTCTAATAATACAAAATATAATTTTCTTTTACAATTATTATTGAACGATTTATCAAATTTAAAGATATGCGCCTTAATTATTTATCACATCACTACATCAGTTTAGTTTTTTTGTGCAATTATCTCTATCAATTATGATACTTATAATTAGAAAACGTATTATTTATTTTAAGTGTTTCAGTTTTTTTTTCAATATATTCAATATTGCCCGTATAATTTTTAATAAAACATTTTTTTTTTCGACGTATAACTAAAAATATATTTAAAACCATCCAAAATCAAAATTTTTACGTAATTACTATTTACGAATAGTGAATTAATATGTACTGAATAAATAAAAAACCTGTTAATTCACTATCGTCTTATTGAAACACGGCAATTAAACTTTAATTACATAATAATTATAAATACTTGCGACAAAATTTTACTACAATGCAAAGAGTACCTGTGAAATATACAGTATAATTAATAATATATAATATTATCAAGAAGAAAATATGAAATAACGATAATACACGCGAACGTCGCAAAGCATACGACTATACGGGTATGATTAAAAATAGAATTTTATTTCCACAATAATAATTATAGAATTATTCTCTCCCGTATCTTATATCAGAAGTATAATGACTGTAACAACTAATGAATAGTATTCGAATATGCTTTAATCTTCATAGGTACAATCATAACATAACTTACTACTCGTACACACCACCACCATATTTATAAATATAATTATCTGTAAATATGTTTATGTATAATATATTATTATGATTACATAAATGTAATATACATAAAATATTATTATTTAAATAAATATTATTATTATTATTATTATTATTATTATTATTATTTTAATATTATTATTATTTCATAACTATGAAATAATTTTATACATATACATTTATAATGTGTATTGTACATTACATAGTTATAATAATAACTATTATTAGTCGTTTTTCAATTCTGTATTTTCCATTGTATGGTTCCTTTTTGACTTTGAGTGGAGTAAAGAAACTTGTTGTATTTATACATAAAAAAAAATTTACAAAATATTTACCTCCTAAAAAACTTCTGTTTAGGACAAATGTCCTTTCCACTCCTTCTCCTTTTCTCCTTTAACGCACCACCGATCATGGCTTTATCATTTTTGGCCCTTGATAATATGCTCACCTTTAAGTTTGTTTGTAAGATTATTCACTTTAATATTTATTTATTTATTACTTATATCATGCTAAACATAACATAATAATCACAAAATTATGTATTAAAGCTAACAAGTAACGACAAAAATTTAATCTGTTGAACGTAAATTATTATCACGGATTAAACAAAATAATAATGATATATATTTTTATTTAATCTGCAATATTATGTTGTCAGAGAGAAGACATTACACTCATGCCTGATATCCTATGGATTACAAATCTTTCATATTTAAGTATTTCAATTTAGGTAAGACGAAGAGAACGAATGTATGAAGTATAATTATGGCTGTTTCAGATAAGTACTGTCGTACTTTAGGTACGTATATCATGTATATGAATATATTCCAGTGTATGTCAATTTTTTTACTCAAGTCAACATTTTTAGGCGATTGGGTATCATGATTATGATGCACACAATACAAAATATTTTTATTTGTCAAGTTACATCAATTTTGAGTACAGGTAGTAATTATGTACATTACTCCAATATTATTAATCTATTTGTCAGTACATTAACTAAGTAAAGATGATCACAAATATGAAATCATTCAAAATGTTTATTTAAAATCAACTATTGTTTAATACATTTTATTTGTATTTTAGAAATTATTACAGGTGCTTATTAAAATCCAAATAGTCTAAATAGCAATTAAAAAATTTGTATTTTTAGAATACTGAACTTTCGTGATTTATTTACATATTTTATTACTAATTGGTTCTTAAAATGTATTTAAAAAGTAGATATAGTAACGAGTAAATTGGTAATTTTATGATAAAAAAGTAACTTAAATTACTTATAAATTACTTACAATATAATATAGTTTATTTATCATCAAATTATTTAAAAAGTAATTTCATTACAGTAACTAGCAAGTTGTAACTCAATTAAGATATTCCCTGACATTGGCTTACACAGATTATATTACTATTGTCTATTGATATTATTAGAAATATGGTATATTTTTCAATTTTATTTATATACTTTACATAAATTTACAAATTTATTATGCTCATGAATAACTTCTTTATGAGAGCAATACAAATCCCTACATTATTAATGTCATAATTTTATTAAATTAAAAACAATAAACAGGTATTATTCAAAATTAGTTAAATAGTTGACAACATTTTTAACTGTATCGAGAAATAATTTATAAATTTTTAATATCTATAATTTTAAACATAATAATATCTAAACGAAAAATTCAATAAATAAAAATAAATAATTAAAGAAGTAATGGAAAAAAATTAATAAAAATAATTCATGTCAATAATATATAAAAACGTAATAAACCAACAATTTATATGCTTCTATTAAAATATTTAATTATAGTTAATTAATTATATCTCTATCGATCTCTAATTTTATCTCAAATTCAAATATATATTGAAGTACCATTAACCTATATATAATTATTGATTTTTATATGCAGAAAATTTTTTTATCTCACTTGCATTAAAATTTTGTATACAAATTAATATTTCTAATGTAGTTTTATAATTAGGGCATGTTTTTTGTTGAGGTTTTTTTAATTTTTTGTTTCATGAGAAAAATGTATTTATATCACATGATTTTTTTCTCCAAATTCTTTGTTTATAAATTTACTAGCTTGAAGTCTCAATATTATTACATAAAAGCTTATTGATTTAAATATTTTATAACAGAAAAAAATTTAAATTTATTAAAAAAATCTGTTTAATGAAACTAAATGTTAAATCAATATTATTTAGTTGAAGAATATTTCAATTATTAATTATTTCTTATATAGGTAACCAAATAAAAGAAAGACAAATTTAAATAATTTATAGTTACTATTTAAGTAGTTATTGATTTTGCTTCGTGTTCAATAAAATTCCTTTGATTAAAACCAGCAAATAAAAATTCTAAAACTGCAATAACTTTAATATATCTAAATATTCAATCTTAAAAAAATGACTTTTGATATTGAACGTCATGATGACTAGCAAGTTGGATATTTGTTTTTCGAATTGTAGAATTTAAGATTTTTTTAAACTCTTCTATTATGACATATTTAAGATATAACAAATAAAATATATTTATAAATAAATTAATAAAATTTAAGTGCAAATCTAGTCCCTTGCACCTTTTGTTATTGCACTGTAACTCTTTAATTATAAGAGCACAGTGTTTTAATAATTATGTAATTAATAAATAACTTTATAAGATGTAACAATTATTTATTATAGTCGCAAATTATAAGAAATATATTCAATAATTCTTATAGTTAATTAAATTTAAATTAAACACATTAACATTTAAAATATTCATGATACAATTTATTTAACTACAATTAATTTTTGTTTGTACTTAATCTTAATGAACATGAAAAGAATAAAAATGATTTATTAATTAATAATTATCATTTATAAAATAGGTTTGTAAGTAGATCTGCTATAAATCGTGAGAGTTTAAAAGATATGCAAGTTTTACATGTTTTAATTTCCGAGTTCTAATAACCCTAGTCTAACCAACATTTTTAGTATGTGGTAATGTGGTATAGTTTATATGCTTCCCTTTTAGTATGTATATTGTATAATAACATGACTATATAATAATATTATACATAATAGCGTTAATATGTAAAAAATAAATTAACTAGTTCTATGTTAAGTTTGTCAACTGGGCAAAATCTTACATCTGATTATTTAATATTTTAGTACAATGTAATATAAATATGAGTCTTTCATATGCATTACCTAACCTTGGAATTTTATTATAAATATTAAAATAATTCTTCATTTAACAATTCTAATTAATAATTAAATGAAAAAAATTTATTAGTTTATTATTTTATTTTTTTATGTTGATGTAGTAGTCCAATTGACTTATTTTTATATTTTGAATATCTGTTTCCACCTTTCAGTTTTCTCATGTTAGCAGCTTTTAATAAAAATATCATTACTTTAAACCAAGAATGTTAAATATACAGCTTTCAACTTTTATTTTTTGGTTTATAAACACTAGGATTTTTGGAAAGTTAAATGAAAAAGAAGAGAGTAATCATATTATGTATGTTTTCTCCAAAAATAATTGTTATAAATTTGTATAACATTTTGTTTTATTCAATATTTAATAGTCGATACTTAATATTTAACACATTTGTTTCAAGTTATTCTGTCAAAACACCAATGGGTGTATAACATAAAAGTGAGACTATTTTTTATAACTAGATTGTAGATAGTATACTAAATGAACATATAATAATTATTATTTAATTTCAATAGTAAATTATTCAATAAAATAAAGTGATTTTTTATACTTAGTTTTGATATGATAATTATTAAACATTAAAAACTAATTTTAAACCATGGTAAATTGTTTACTAAATATAAATTGCATTTTAAAATAGCATATTATGCATTGTAGTCATGTAGAAAATGTAAATGTTTTTTTGATTAATCTAGAGAAATTATTTTGTTCTTGAGTTAAAAAAAAAAAAAAACAAACACTTAATAACTAAATAATTCTTATTAATAATAATAATTATTATGATAAAAAAAAAAAATTAGACAGATTTGAGCGTAGATAAAATAACAATTTGTCAATTAAAAGACTATATTTTAAAATAAAAATTGATTTTACAATAGAATATTTTATCACAAAATTTCAAAGCCTAACATTTATATAACAATTAACTAAAAAGATAAAACAAAAAAAATCTATAATAATTACATTTTACAATAATAAAGTAAAAAATAAGTTTTAAGTTTAAGTATTGTAATTTTTCATGTACATATAAAATTTGAGATGTTGTATTGGAATAAGTATAAATTAGAAATATATTGTAAGTTCATAAAAATTAACTACAATTGAGAGCAAGTGACCCGCAGAAGAAAGCAGTAATGAAATATATAACAGCCTGGAAAAAAAAATCATGTAAAATAATTTTAAAATTTATTGCTGAAAATAAAATAAATTAAATTATTTTCTTTTTATAAATATGATTTATACACAAATTTTAAAATCTTATATATTTTTAACACACTCTTAGAAGAAGAGAAAATAATATTACGATTCAATTACATTCAGAATTATTATTAATTTACTATAAACAAAATATTGTTTGTGGTTTAACACATTGTTGGTTTTTCAATTCTTTAAAATTATGAAAATAACAATTTTATACTAAAGATAAGTAAGATTTTAGGCAAAGAAGACACTAGATTTAAATTTTAGTACCTGTTAAATTACAATAAGGTAATAATTGAGTTTGTTATTAAATTTAAATGATTTTGATAATTGTTTGCTAAAAGTTAAAACTGACAAGTGTGTAACAATATTTGAAATTACAATTATATTATAAAATGGATATAAGATATTGTTATATATATATTATATCAAATTTAGAAAACATAAACAGATATTTTTTTTTTATCAATTCTACAAACTTAAATATATAGTTTTTAAATCTTCTATTCTATTAAGTAAATATTTAGTACTATTAAAGTCTATGACAATTATTATATAATGTAAATATTTTACTTACAAGTCCTATAGCTATAAATAAAACATATATTTTGATGTTTTTCCAGAACAATGAACGTTGTAGAGTACGACTTTGTACTCTGAAATTCATGGATTGTGAACATAAGTTTTCAGTTTTATTAACTAATAGTTCAAGCTTTTCTCCACGAAGAGCTACACTGTCTGAAAATAATAGTAATTTATTGTTTAATTTAAGATAATGTCATAGATTTATTTATTTACCAATATTTCGAACCATTATGTCTTTTAATTCATCTAATTCTCCATGTACTTTAGATAATGTATCAAACTCATTTGGACTAGAAAATCGTTTCTATGAAAAAAGAATTTGTTATTATTTTTGAAATTAATATTTTATACTAATATATAATGTTTAGTACCATTTCAGAAGCAAGTATTGGAGCAAATTCAGAATTCATGGCATATGCAATAGCATTAGATGCTCGATGACCATATGTAGCTTGAAATCTTCGTTTTATTTCATTTAAGAAAAAAAAGGCTTTGGATCTTTGGAATTCCTATAAAAAGATAAAAATAATTGAGCTATATAACTTGATTATAAAACTTAATAATACATAACTTAATTTTTATTTTTACATTGAAATATTTAACATTGAATTGTTATACGACAAAGTTAAAGGTGATTAATTTCATACGCAATGGCTTTTTTAAAATTATTTATAGAGTTATTATACTAAAATAATTTATGTTAAAACTTACATCATCTGTAATACACATATAAACTATTTGATCTTCACAAATGTAATGATATAAGTAATGGTCATGTAGTAAACTTTGTTTTTTGTTTTCTGGTCCTATCTGGATTAAAACACCTTCCAAAATTTCTCCAAAATTGCCTTGGTAGTTGGCATGCTTGGCTAACACGACCATACCTCTGGCTACTACACTGTAGAAGAGTGGCATTGCTTATCGATTATATTATGAACAGCCTGAAATAAATAATAAATAATTTATCTATACCTAAATCAACAAATAGTACCGTCATGAGAAGAAAAAGAAGGATAAGTAGTAATATTTATCATGAAATTAGTTTATCACAGGTAGCTTAAGTTGTTTATAATTTGTATTTTGAATTAAGATTACAATTTTCTTTAGATATTCAAAGTGCAAGTTAAATTAAGGAGTTAAGTTTTAATTAATTATTCAAAAATAATAAGGTTGATGATGTATGTATTTTTTATGATTTTAATATAACTAATTAATATCTATTGGCTATTAATTATATGAACCGAAAAATTTAATTTATATTTATACTTAGTATTATTAAGAATTTATTGTATTATATTAATTAATTTAGATTACTAATATTATAAATAAGTCATTTAATTAAAAACACAATTTATCACTTAATATTGTGTATTAAATAATTTGATTTTTTACAACTGTTAACTATAATGCTTTTTAAAGAAAAACTTCTTAATATTATTTATCAAATGACAAGTTTATGTAGTATCATTATTGGATAAATATCTGTGCATAAGAACAATTCACTTTTCAAGTTTAGATAATTTTAAGTTTTATTCCAAAAAATGTAATTATTATTTTTGTTGAAATCTTATTATTATTTATTAAACAATCGTTTAAAATCTAATAGTAATGAGTAATGACAAATTTAGTTTTACGAATTAATATAAAAATATATTTTTATATATTAAATTTTAAAACTTATGCAATAATATTATTTTGTATTATTATCCATTTTTATGTACAAAACAATAAAAATTCAATAATAAAAAATAACAATAGAAATGTTGATTAGTTCTTCATAACTAAATGACTTTGACATTTGATTGATTCCAGAATCATACAATTGTACCATTAAATTTTATTTATGTAAGTAAATAGATCAATTGAAGGTACTAGTTAGTAGTATACCAATGTGCTTAAATATATTTAAACGCGAGTATGTTTGTGCACACATTATGACCATTGACAGGTTAATACTATAAATAAATAATAACATATAATTATTTATTAGGCAAGATTGCAATTAATATAATAAACTAACTGAATGTTCAAAGGTTTCATTAGTGTATTTATTTCTTATGTTATTAAATATTTTATGAGCCTATCATATAATAAATTATGATTATAAATAATAGTATTACCAAGAATATATTAAATAAATATAATTTAAAACATTTATTTATTAATGGTATTATCAAATATAAATTGACTCTAGATTATACACTTAACAATAAATGTATTGTTTTAAATTTATAATAGTGAAAAAGATAAACTTTGAATATTATTTGAATCAAATTGTTTAATATCTTAAATTCTGAGTTTAGTATTTACTGTTATTTACATTTTAAAACTATTAATATTTAAGGCAACATGTATATATTTATTATTTTTACATAATGTAAAGTACATGAATATTGTTTTCAATATTAAAAGTACAACAGTAAAAGACAATTAACTAAACATTTCAGAAAAATAACCAGTATTGAAATTTCAAATACTTACATCCTGATATAGTAATTAATAATAATAACAATCAATTACCATATTTAAGTTATCCAATACTTAAGTCTAATACCAATATTTAAGTATTCCAAAATGATAAAAATTAATTATTTCTATTTTTTATAATGTAATATTTGATATTATGTTGTTAATTTTATAAGATATAACCTGTGTAATGTAAATAATATCCTATTTGATACAGAAGTATATTTTTATTTATTATGCTTTAATGTTAGTAGTCATATAGTATATAGATAATATGCATGTACCAAATTTATAAGATTATAACTTATAAGTATACTAATAACTCTTAATGTATACAAATATTCTTCATCCCTCTCTATTGTTTAAATCCAGCACCAAATGTTAATGTTAAATATTTTAATAAAAGAAAAAATATGGAATTTAAATAATAAGAAAAAATGTTAAGGTACTTAACTAAAATATTAGTTAATTATAAAAATAATAGGTAGACAACATTTTTGTATCAAATATAGTTTAACAACACTATTTTGTCATTTAAATGGTACTTTCCAATGACAATAGTAATATAAGACAACAGTTACCATCGTCACTATTGGAATCTTAACAATATCTATGTGCCTAATTTTCAAAAAATTATTATTGTATTATTTGATTGTTTTTCCTGCATATTAAATTTATTTACTAGTTAAAAGTAGTTTAGCAGTTTTACTCTGATTCCAATGCAGTAATCACTTATCACATTCCAAGATTCAAAATTCAATTATTTTCTTTTATTAAATATAAATACTATAGTAATATAATTTCTACCTAAAACTAAAGAAGAAGCAGTAAGGCTACTTTAGAAAGTAGTATTTTAAATATCTATAGAAAATGTAATAATGGTTATGATTAAAGGCCGGATTTCCGTACAATTGCATCTTTTTATGGGGTGTCCTAAATTCTATAAAAACAAGCTACAAATTCAAATTAAGAGATGTAGATTAATCTAAAGAAAGTTTTATGTTGCAAAAATTGTATGTTTTTGGGTTTTTATACAAAATTGCACATTTAGTTTTTTTTTTTTTTTTATGAAAATGCACTAAACAGTACTTTTGTACAAATATGTTTGTTGTATAATCTATATTATATTACCACCATCTATCTACTTTATTACTGTTATATGAAGTATTGGACTTTTATATCTAATAATATAATCATATGCATATCGATATAATATGATGTAATTAAGATAATGAATATAGGTACTAAAATAGTCGATAAATTATTGATACATAAACACTATACAGTACTACAGTCTATTCGTAGCAGCCATAGTCAACTCGTGTTTTATACAACAATTTTAGTTGATATTTATTACTTGATATCATTTAATTTAAAACGCCGAAAATTGGACATAATTTTGAAAAAAAACTCAGAAATGTAAATGATTATAAATTTTAATTAAATATTGTTAAGTCAGTTATATACACATACCTATTGTCAGTTCATGATTATTTTATTTAAATTAAAATAAATTAATTTTAAATTTTAATATAATAGGTACTTAATTATTAATGTCAACCAATAAATAATATTATAAAACATAAATATTATTTAAAATTAAATTTAAAGTACCTTTAGGCTATAATGAAAATATTGTTTTCGCACAATTTTTCACATTTTAAAATTTTAATTGCATGTTTTTTAGATGGACATACAACTTAAGTACACCTAAAAATTGAATATTTGTGTGTAAATTAAAGAAAAAACTTGGTTGATCTTTTAAATGGAAATGAGCTTAAAATTTGATAGAACGTATTTGAGAATTAACAAAATAACAAAACAAAAAAATCTATTGGGAGACAATACATTGTCGTTTTTATCATTAATATTTAAGCTGAATTCATGTGGCATTAGAATGTAAAATAATATACCTAAATGTACAAAAATTTTAAAAACTAAAAAAAATATTCAATATTTGTACAAATTAAATTAATTATTTAACAAAATATAACTTTTTGATATTTGAATAAACATATTACATTTCATGTATATAAAAACAAATCTAGGTCAAAATGTACATGGACGAATTCATTTCACGATTTAATTTTATGTGAAAATGAAGTATTTATATAACCATAGCTTTTGTAAATTATAATTGTTGAACTATAATAGTTTATACTTACAAGTTCTAAAAAAAAAAATATTTAATAATTTGGATATTTTATAAGTAGATAATATTTTGACTGATTACCTTTACGAAAAAATTACATAAGGATTAATTAAGGTTTGTAAAACAAAAAAATTGGATAGTCTGTAATAATTGGAAGGTGGAAAATATTATTAGTAATTTTGGATAAAAGAATTGAGATGTTTTACAAAATAAGAAAGTTTCATACAACAAGAAAGAATTTATTAAAGTACTGTAAATCTGGATTAATTTTCAAAGTACTAATAATAAAATTTAATAAACAATTATTGCTTATACGTGAAGTATATTTTAATTATATTCATTTATAAATATACCAAGTATATCATAAGAATACTGAATACACTTATTACTTAATGAATAAATAATAGGCAGTAATAGGAAGATGATTACTAAGTAGAAATTAGTTTACAAAATACAATTTAACCACATGTATACATCTTTAAGTAAACTTTTAATAATATGGGTACAAAAAAAAAGTTATCATTTTATATCTAACTTAATTTTTATTCTATTAATAACTTAAAAAAATAAATATATTGGCAATTTTTTAATAGCTTACCCAGATGTACTTATAATTTCTGATTTATTTTTTGTTGTACCTATAGATTAGGTATTAAGTTAAAAAATTAAAAACATTTACAATACCAAATATTTTGGTCTCAAATTTGAAATTTAAGAAAAAGAAAATTTTTTCTACTTAAAAATAGTACCTATTATTAATTATTAACAGAAAAATTGATAACTACTTGAAAATTGTTTGAATACTATACATATAGAATATTAATCAAATCTATTTAGTTGGGTGTCTACTTAGATTTGAGTGCTTAAAATAGACTGACAAAAATATAGATAAATTATCAGAAAATCACTCTAAATAATAAAGTTCTTACGTATATTAGTCTTGAGTGATTGTTTAAGTAAGGGGTATAGTAGTGTCTTAATTAAAATTCTATTATACCAATTTATCATACTTGACAACAATGAACAGAAAATAAAACAAATAGGTATTATTTACGTAGATAATATTTGTATAATATTTAAGAATTCTCGCTACTTACTACGTAATTGTGAATTCTCAGACGTCGACGTTCATTTTTCGACGAATCTTAAGTGTCAACACCACACTGGACAGGCGTGTGGTTCCACTCAAAAATGTGCACGGATAGTAATTGACACTCGTCGTCGATCGTGCGTTCGATGCCTATCTATCTATTACTTTAATTTTTGGGGTTTCTTTACGTCAGTTGCTGGGGTGGGAAGCCGGACGACAACAGTTGTGTGCGACACCTGACACGGAATTGTTAGCTAACCGAAAAGGGAAAATGATATGTATGACGCAACTATGTGCAAGGACGACGTACAATATTAATGTATTTTGATGAGGACACGCGCACGGATTACAACAACGAACACGCTACTAGTAACGACTGTAACATTATGATATGATCGACGTAGCATTACAGTGTTAAAAAATTATTAAATCAAAGTTGTTGTTGTTGTCGTCGCTGCCCGCTGAGTGTTCGCGTTATCTGCACCACCGCTTATCTATATCGCGTAGGCAGTAGGCACCAGCTACGTGATTTTAAATGCTGAAGACGGGCAAAATAGACAAAGGACAACGACGAAAACATAAAAATTAAAATACGGAGATTGACCACTTGTACCGATTAACCGTCGCGTAACGCACGCTTACGTCGATTATTTTGGATTTTGTTTTTCTCCAAAAAATCAACACCCAATTTTCTAGCATTTTATTGCGTACCTATTAAAATTATGTGATTTTAGAGCTCACGAATAAAAAAAAAAATGAAAAAAACAAAACTTTGTAGAAATTTGAAAGTGGTAGTTGTTGAACAAATGACGCCTTTGTAAAAGGCATGACGAAATATTTGCGGTAAAAGAATTAGTGATAACGCGGCTCACTGCTCCACTACCAAACAATGATAACGGATTCATAGAAATTAGAGTTTAGACATCATACCGTGTGATTATTACTTGTTAGGGCTTACGAACTTATTTGTCGCTTTTCAGTTAAAACGCTAGAAATAAATTCACAAACACACCTGTCATATTGGATTCTATTCGTTTCGAACGCATAAAACTTAACGTTTGTTTCCATTTTTTTTCCTACGTTAATGGTGCATTTATAATGTATTTCCATTGACTGCCGATTATGTGCCGACACTCCAGTGACGTTTTACACTTAGGCTGTGGTTAATTTTAGTCGTGTCTCAAGGAGCAAACAATCTATGACCATGTTCTCTTGGATACGCAACAGGAGGCAATTGACCAGACTTGGTTAGTACAATAAGTTTTTGTTGCTTTTATACCTGCTAATTAAATTCATTTTTACACTAACACTGATAATATTAACTAATCGCTGAGAAATTATTAATATTCGCATAGTTGGCACAATATTATCTCTTTTATGTACACAAGAAATTCAGTAAAAAAGGTCCATAATTTATTAGTATTTGCAATAGGTAGTAAGATTATTTGATTTTAATTATCGTTTTGAGAAATAGGGCGTTTTCACTTTCACATAATTTAGAAAGCTGTTTAACCAAACTCATTACCAATTTTACAAAATTGTTTGTCTTAGTTTTGAAAATTATTCAACTAAATATAGTTTTTATTTGAATTTATAATACTTAAGCTTAATTTTAAATGCTTAGGATTAGTTAGTTTTTTGTGTTTGTATTGGTTGAGGTATTGAATGACAATTATAATTTATAAGAAAATAATGTGTTTAAATAATAATTGCTATTTATTGATATCACCTAATTATTTTTTGTCATCTATCAGCATTTATTTTATTCTAACTTTAAGACTTAATTGTTCAATTTAAAGGCATTTTCTTGTTTCCATCATTACATGGTAACAATAGAAATATTTAGTTCTGAGTTAAGCTTTAGAAATTTAATCTTTCCAATTATTTTTTGTTTTATTAGCTTTCCGTTAAAATAACTATCATTTTAATTTATCATGTGAAAAAAATTATTAGACTTAGGTAAATGGCAAAAGTAAATAATGATACTAATGTTGTCGATTTTATAAAAAATAATTAATATTTTGATTTTTTGAACTAAAACTGGAATAGTTTAAAATTCTACATTACAAACCGTGATATAGTAGTTTGTAATTGCAAACAAATTGAAAACTTTTGCCTCAGACATAAATGTAAAATTATAATTTTTTCTTTAGAGAATAGTGTTTATATATAATAAGCGGATAGTGGTACTTACTTTTTTGTTTGAATTTCTTGTCATAACATCATATAGCAATGTGTTCTTGTATGGTATGAGTAATCATTGTAGTGTTTTAGATGTGAATTAAATAGTATCCATATGGTGATATTTTTAAATAGCCATGAAAAAATTGATAGTTAACTTACTAAAATACATTAGCACTATTTAGTATTTTACAAGGGCATGGGGAAAAAGGTAAATTTCACTTACTGAAAGATTTAAATATATCTTTGATTTTTGGCTTTTAATAGGTAGGTACTTAGGTATTACATATTTTCATATATACTTTTATGTCTTACCAGAAACATTTTTCTTTTAGCATTAACATAAAATCAACTTTGTTTCAACTGTTAATAATTACTTATCCTAAGTAAAATTAAATACATAAAACAGACCAATTTTTTGCTTCTAAATCTAATTGTTTGAAAAAGAAAATCACGTTTATCGATACAATAAAATTGAGAACAAAATGTGTACTTGAAAATATTTTAACTTTACTTTTCACATAAATCAAGTTATAAATATGTTTTCATTTAAATATATATTGAATGTAGTTTTAAGTTCCATTAATCTATGTTAAAGATGCTTTGTAATCATCATATATATATTTTTTTTTAATTGAAAAATTACTCTTTCTAATGCCCATAGTATGTGGTGATATTTATCTAAATTTTTATTCACATATTCAAATTTTATATGTACGTGTCAATTGTCAATTCAAATTTTATATTTTTTACTTTGATTTGTTCCAATTACCCCATATTTATCAGTGACATTTAATATTATTTTAGTGATTTAACCAAGGCATTTTTTTTTAGATGTTGTTCTTATAATTTCTCTTATCTAAATTCTAAATACTAAAATCTAAGCTTAAGAATAACCTTTTTTTTTTTAGTTTATTTTATTATACCAGTATATATATTTTATAAATAAAAATTATTGTTATTTAATATATAAATAATAACATAATATTTAAGTCATTTACCTGCACAAAAAAGTTTAACCATAATAAATTAAAAATAACAGCATTTCCTTTTAATTAAACAAACAAAAAAAAAAAATTAATCTGCTGCTATACTTGAACATTTTAAACTTGATTATGCTCGATCAATTCAAACTGTTTAAGATATTTGAATTTGAACTTGAATTTCTTTAAGATCAAGTAGTTTGAGAATCCAACCTTAATTATATGTTTAATATGTAATGCTATCAATTAAATACAAATTAAAAGTTATAATCATTGTGAAGATTTAAAAATTAAATATATAGATTTTAACATTTTTATGATCTATATTGATTTCTATTTCACAAGCTATTCTCATCAAAACATGTCATTTAATATAGTAAAACTGAGCATATTAATTGTATATTTTAGTTATTACTTATTACTAGGGCTTGGGACTTTATGCATTTGCATATTTGTTCAGGAAATAAAAGAAATCGGATTTGATACATATTTGTTTTTTGATTTAAGGATTTTAAATTCAGAAATTTTTATTGCATATTATATATATTTTAATTTGATTTATAAGAGAAATAAAATATATTAATATAAATTTTTTTTTTTGATGTGTTATAAAAATATTATTTGGAAAACAAATCTGTAAATACGATGAACGTTGTGATCCTAAATTAATTTTATCTTATGATTTCATCTGCAATAATCAATGTTAGATAAATTCAAATACTTCCCAATCAACAGTTTAGCTTTTTTAATATGGTATGTATTTGATATATTTTTTTAAATTTAATTTGTATAAGTATGTCTTTTTTAATTAAAAATAAACATATTTAAGCGCATATTTTGAAATTTTATTATGCATATGTATGCGCATATTTTTATGATCTTAAGTGCATCAAGTCCTTAGCCCTGCTTTTTACTGTTTATTAACAATAGTTTTTTTTTAAATTTTTTATTTATTTGAATATTTATAATTTATTTAGTTTTTTATACGATAATTTAAATTTATAATTCAATTTGATATATAGAATTTGAGGTGACATGAGAGCTTGAGCTTGAGGAGTTGTTCTGTGGACAAGTTTTGTTTGAAGCGTCTCACAGAATTGTTTGGTAGAGTTTTTGATCCAAGCTGGTTGTTGAGTGACTTTTGGTGTAGTTATTTTTTTGAATGGAATCTTCTTTAAAATTACATGGCAGTTTTGTTGACAGTTTGAATTTTGAGGTCATGGTGGATTGCCATGTTATTGACAAACCAATATGCATTGATAATTATTCTAAGGCAGATAGATTGGTATTTAGTAGGCTTGGATTGTTTTAATATTTGATGGTTGGTTTAGTTGAACTCCAGATAATAATACCATAAGACCAGATTGCCTTTATTAACATTTTGTAGAGAAATAATTTGACGGTAAATGGTGCTTTAGAGTGAAGAAATGGTCTTAGTATACGGAGTCAAGAATTTTGTTTTTTCCTTTGATCTTTGAGGTGTGCTAACCAGGTTAGATATCTATCAAAAACTTAACCTAAATATTATGAGGATTGAAGAATAACAAAATTGTATAGTGAAATTGGTAAGCAATTCTCTGGGTGTAGAGAGAAGGTAGTTTGAGAAGATTTTGATTAATTTATTTTTATTTTCCATTTGAAGAACCATTCTTGTAGAAGATTTAAATGATTTTGTAAATGTTGACTCACAGTATTTGGGTCTAAATTGCATGTGAGCAGTGCTGTATGGTTCATGAATATTCCGATCTTGGTGTTGTGTGTAGTGAGTAAGTCGGATGTGAATATAATATATAGGAAAGAGGCAATATTATTGCCTTGAGGTACGCCAGCTAGAATTGGACATTTGTTGGAGAATTTAAAGTTTTGTCTAACTTTAAAGGAGTGATCGTTGAAGTAGGATTTGATAAGTAGAAAATATGTGGCAGGAAGTATTTGTTTCATCTTGCCTAAGAGGTCTTCGTGGCACACGGTGTCAAAGTTTTTGGTAACATCTAGAAATACTCTTGCACAGTAATTCCCGGTTTTGAGAGCTGAAGCAACGGTGTTAATGACGCAGTGAAGTTGATGAGTAGTAGCTATAAATACTGGTAATAGTTAATGATTTAATCATGGGTTCTTATATATATTATTGGAACAGAGATGCAATATTAATTTTAATATATTTTAGATATAAGAAATTTACTTAATTTACCATATGTCAAAGTTAAAGAAAATAATCAATTGTGTAATAGAATTTACGTTTTTGATATTTAATAAAATAAAATATGTAGAGCTTATAAATTAA